GGTATGCCGCCTCACTTGTTTTCAGTGTGGGGCAAGTTCAGGGCCAATGAGACTAGGAAAATGACCTTCATTGCACTTTGAAAATAAACGGACTGCAAGGGAGTGCTGAGACAAAGGAAAATTAAGCCTAGACATCCTCAAGACACTCGAAAGCAATGCCCTAGAGTATGGGAGCAAGCTACAATGGTGATTGGAAACCGTGAGATGAAGATCTAGCGGCTTAGAATAGTCGACACATGAGTGACACGTGAGAGAAGGAAGTTGAGACCGTCGATGTCAGAGCGCGCGTCCCACACGAGGTCACGAGTATCAGACCTCCACGGCCATGTCACGCAGGAGTGTTTCTGCGGTCGAATGTAGGTACCACTCCGGTCGTGCGCGCCAACCATACTGCTCACGGGGTATGCGACAAGACAAGACTCCTGAGGTACAACTTACCTCTGCCTGAGGGGCTGTCACCACCCTTAGGTAGGCGTATCCCTGCTGAGCTATTGACTCACATACGAAGGCTTTTACTTGCAATCTTAGAGGTAGGCCAGTCGAGGGCGTTTTCTCAATCGCAATAACAAAGGTATACGCGCGGTAGAACGCCTAAGACTAACCCGTGTAAATGTCGGAGATCGGGGCACTTGTTTTCTCAAACCAAGTTTACGACTCAGGTCGGCTTAAATAATGAATTGTCGCACTTATACTAGGCATACCCATAACCTTTTTGAACAAAGACAGCGAATCATACTCATAGTCGTATATTAAATATAATGGTGGTAGGTGAGTGATAATACGACGAGGTACTATACGATAATCAACATTATGTAACCCTTGAGTGGGTCATGGACTAGCATGACGCTTCATATATGTGAGTCTTTTTTAATTAAACACATATATTACAAATAGGCTCAAAGCTGAAGTTAAGACAAGGAGATGTCCTTACATTTCATGTACACAAGCAGAAAATTCACAGAGACAAACACAAATTTTTAACCTCCAATCATTTGTCAAAATCAAACGTAGGCTCATGGCCTCTTTCAAGAATGTCAAATGCAAGAGGCTTTTGGCCTTCAAAGAATCATAATCATGTCAACATAAGAGAAAAACATAGAGAATATCCGGACCAAACGAACGAAAGTTATGCGTCGTCGAGGTGTCTGGGTTAGAGCCCAGAATGCGAATGAGTTTGTCTAAGTTGCAGTGAACTGTATTTTAAGGATTGTTTACTAACCTACTAACAGATTAAAGCCTTGAGTAGACTCTTTGTGAGCCAGTCTAGAACGATCTATCGATTTAAATGATCTACTAAGGAAAAGGCAAGCAACTAGTTCTAAGCCCTCTATCCAGCTACTTCCCAAAACCATTCACTCTTGCATTCATCAAACAGTCAAAACTTTATTCATTGACCAGTTAAAACATAGCTCATCAAATAGTCAATATAGCACTCGTCAAGCAGTTAGATCATCCTTCACCAAATAGTAAAACAATTCGCCATTGAATCTCTACCTTACTACCTGTCCAATACCAAGCGGATCGTAATCAATCAAGCATGAGACATACTAAATCAATTTTCAATACGCAAATAATTTTTTCCTAACGAATTCAATAACAATGGGGATTGTTAGGAGTTAGGTTGCAAGAGACCACAAAATATGACATCACAATAAAATGTGCAAGGTTTTTTAACCATTTAATCAAACTGATAAAATAAACATAGGCTCAAGGCATTTCATAGAACATGAAATGCAAGAGTGCAAGGAAAATGAGCGATAGCGAACTTCAGAAACCAAGCAGCATCATACACATAAGACCAGATAGTCGTGACCTCGAACCAAAAACAAAATTGCAACATAAGTCCCACCAAATAAGAGCACAACAAAAGTTCATAACTGACAATGTTCGAATAGTCTCATCATCATCAACAAAGAACCAATGTCGACATCCTATCTGGCGCTCTTCGCCCAGACTACAAATGGCAGATGTAATGACCCGCCAAAAACACAGACTGAGAACACTGCTGATTTCTGGGATTTGCCGCTGGAATGAATGCCTTGTTGAAATTCCCACATTCTGCTGTGATTTCCATGTCTGTGTGTGTGTGCGTGCCTGCTGGTTTGCATGTCTGTCTGAGTGCTTGTCGGTTGAGTGTGTGTGTGACCCGCAAGGGTACTTGTTGGTTGCAAGGCCCCGCAGGGCCGGTACTTACCTGTGGCCATGACTGTGAAGGGTTGCAGGGGGAAAACACTTGAGTAGCGGGGGTAGGCCCGCGACACTTAGAGCAGAGGGGAAAAACACTCAAGTAGCAGGTAGGCCGGTACCACTGAAGTAGTGGTACAAATGTCGGGTACTGGAGGCCGAGCAGAAGAAGACAAAAAGTTGGCATTTTTAGAGGCCCAGTAGCGGTAGGTTAGAGGTAGGCCGGTACCAGTCCAAGTAGCCCGGGTCTAGGGCNCCAGTAGCGGTAGGTTAGAGGTAGGCCGGTACCAGTCCAAGTAGCCCGGGTCTAGGGCCTGTACGGAGGATAGCAGAGCCTGCAATGATGTTTCCTTCCGAAAGGGAGGAGGTACCGGTTGCTGGGAGGCCGCTTGGCCTAGGAAGTCACCGCCCAGGAGGCCGGTAGGCCGCTATATGTCCAGGAAGAGCAAAGAGTTCTTCCTCATTTGCGGTGTGCAAGGATTGGCGACATGCTGTTGGAGCGCACCGCTGGTCTGGTGCAGCGTTGCTTGGAGGTGAAGGGTCGCTGGAGCTCAGCCCTGCTATGGCGAGCAGTCCAGCTTGAGGAGGGAGAAGGGGGCATGGTAGGGAGGCACTTACCTGGCTATGGTAGACACCATCTTCATCACCTTGTTGGGCGCTGCATCTGGAAGGCCCCAGTTGGGGTAGTGCTACACCAAGGAAGCTCGAGGCAGAGTCTGGCATAGCGGACCAGTCAGCAGCGGCATAGCTGCTTTGGGTTGTCCTTTGGACATCAGCGCAGCATCATAGCTGCTCTGGGTTGTCCTTTGGACGTCAGGGCAAGGCCCTCATTAGTCCGCCATAGCCTATGCATGAGAGAGGAGGCTGAAGGAGGGAAGCCATAGCTATGGTGGACTGGTTGTTGTTGTTGTTATTGTTGAGTTGAGTCAGCAGTAAGAGGGAACTTCGGATATTGATTCTGGTTCATCCATTCATTGTTATTATTATTTTTGAGAGAAGAATAAGATTGGTGAAGTGAAGGAGGAGGAAGGTGGAGAGAGAAGGGGGAATTGTCATTGATCTTGCTGGTGTATATCTTCTTCTTCTTCTTCTTGTTCTTCTTCTTTTTCTTTTTCTTCTTCTTCTTCTTCGTCTTCTTCTTCTTCTTCTTCTTCTTTCCCTCTCCTCTGGTCTCTATCTTTTCGCAAGTGCTTTCATTTCTTTCGCAATTGGGTGGCATTGTCTTTCATTGTGAATTTGCACTTGGGAAATGACCAGGATCGTAACAATTGGTATCAGAGCGGACTTACTTGCTGGCGAGAGGTGTTAGTCACCCTAACCCTAATTTCGAGTTAGGTTAGGGCTAACCTAATCTCGGATTAGGGTTGGAAGTTAGGGTTAAGTGGGGCAGTGAGGTATGTGGATACTGCCCCCACCTGGTTAGGTCATGTAGGGTCGACATTTGACCTGACCAGGTCGCTTGAGTGAATGGATGGGGTGGCGAGACACAAAGGAGGCTGATAGGAGTAAGCGAGAGGGAGTAGAGAGTGAGAGGTACTCGCACCTGGAATCTGCACTTCAAGAAGACATTGAGTGACTTTTGGGCTTCCCCTCAAGAGGGAGACTTGATCGGAGGCTGCCATATCTGCATCGAATTGCTGCATGTTGCTACTTTGGTCTTCAGACATCGACGGGGGATCCGACTTTGCAACATGGGTGTAGGAAGGCCCTCTTAGTCATGCTAGGACACTTCGTGTAGTGGTAGCTAGGGGTCGGGAGGACTTATGAGAGAGGGGGGTGAGTCGTTATCCATCTTTGGAGGCCGGGCCTCACAGGTAAGTGCCGTGTGACCGGGTTAGCCCGTGGGAGGTTGCTTGGTGCTTCATGGCCTGTTGGGGGTGTGCTGGGCTCTCTTCCTCTTCTCTGCGGTCTTGGCTGTGTGTGTGAGCATGTGGATTGCTTTCTCACCTGAAGGATGGATGGATGATGTATCTGTTCTAAATGGCATATCTTTTTACGGTGCAATGTCTTTTCATTTCTGAATGGCTGTAGGGGTAAGTTCTTGCTAAAAGTTATCTTTTCCTTTTCAGTACGGTAGAGGCAGTTTGGGACTGACTTGGTGCCCCTATCACGTTGGTCCTGTCCACGACCTACTTGGGACCCCTCGGGACCCAGTGGGACCAGGCCCAATGGGACAGGACCTTTCGGGCCGAAATCTGTTGCCGCCAGTGCTTCTCTTTGTTGTGCTGAACTTGGGGGACAAACGGCTAGCAAGGGCATTCCTTTCAAGGGGATCTTGATTGGTCTTACCGCCTGTTATCACATACTGCCCCGCGTCTGGCTCGGCGATCGTCTGCACCCCTCCAAATCTCCATTGCTACAGTTAGTTTTCTTCGGCTGATTTATTGTGATACATGTCCCTTGTCAGGTTAGACAAGAGGGGATCTCCAGCTAATCTGATCGGGCCCGTTCTATAAGTCGGTCCTCTCTTCCGTTTTATGATTTTTTTTTATTTTTTTTTTTCCTGCTGCGTGCCATTTTCTAAGTCCGAATGAACCGCCACTCCGGCTAGGAGTTCTACCTTCTTCTCTGTGTGATTTTCTGCTTGTTTCTTTCATTTGAACTATCTATGTCCGGTATTGAGACGCGTGCGCAGACAGCGAGAAGAGAGAGAAGGGAGAGAGAAGGTGTTCTGTTTGAGAGTGTGAGGAAGGGCAAGAGGAGTGTTCGTCCAAACGTGAGGAGAGAGCGGACCCCTCTTGGGAGATCTACTAACACCCCTTCCTCCGGCATGGCGAACATCACATCTGCCCAATGACAGGCCATGCTGGACGCAGCAGATGAGAACGAGAAACTGTTCTTCCAAAGGCTTTATGATGATGTCGTGCCGAGGGAAAGGGAGGCAGAGGCAGCAGCCAAAGCCGCCAACATTGCTGATCAGGTGGCCCTCCTTCAGGTCCCGGAAGCGAACGCTGACCGGTTCCAGGAGAAGCTAGTTGCTGCCGTAGCAGCCTTGGTTCGACTGCGGAACTTAGAAGACCTTGAGTCCCGTGTAACAGCACTGGAGCAGCGGAACCAAGAGCTGCAGGCTGAGATCATCAGCCTCAAACAGTCCCAACTGCCTGCCCCCCGCCCTCCTAACCCTCGACCTACTGCAGTCCCAGTCTCTCAATCTAACACAGCCCTCATGGCAAGAGCAAGTGGAACTGTGACGAGCGCAGGAACCGGTGCCAGCTCCTCAAGCGGCAGCGCCGACAGTTCTGCACTAGTCATAGTCCCAAATGCAGGGACATCAGCCCAAAACGCCACAGTCCTTACTGACGTTCAGTACAGCGGTCCTGTAGTGGACAAGCAGGCGGCCACCTTGCCATCCAAGTACGACGGGAAAGCGGATATCACTTCTTGGATTAGTTCCATGCGTTCATACTTCGAGGTCATGCGGACACCGCAAGAAGACCGAAGCATGATCATGGGCACTGATAATGAGCCCGCCATACGAAATCACATTGAACTCCAAGCTGTTGCTGCGGGTTATGAAAGAATTGACCTAACCGAGTGGCTGAAAGTAACTCCCGTACGCGCCCTTGAGGATCTTCTCATCGCACGGTACCAAGATAAGCATGCTGCGCTCAAGGCTAGGCTGAAGCTTGAGGCCCTCAAGGGCCAAACATGGAGGTCCTCCATGCAGGCTTTGGAACAACACTTGACTAGTCTGTTCACCACTCCAGATCTGGGAATGACCGACGTGTCTTGTATGGATGTAGTCATGGGAGTGGCCCCTAAAGAATACCTCTCCCTGTTAGCACTCAAAGACCTTACCTCCTGGCGAGAGCTCATGACGGATCTAGTCAACCTAGAGGCCAAGGACCTCGCCAGGCGGAAGAGGGCGCCCGTTGCAGGTGGAAATCCACAACGCAAGCGGTATGGAAGCAGCAACCAGCTTGCCCTGCATGAACATCGGGAGGCTGAAGATCAGTCTTACGCGGATGATTTGCCTCTAGATGACGATCTAGAGTCGGGCTCCGATATGGGTTGTTCCACATCAGCCATTGAGTCTGACGTAAACGAAGATGAAAAACTCAATGCGTTTAAAAAAACTGCTTCAAACAAGGGGCCTAACCGTGGTTCGGGTAAGGGAACTGTTGTCCACCTCACCAAGAATGCGAAGATCCCTGAGAAACCGGAGGATGCATCTACCAAGCCTTGGGAAGCCCTCCGGATCAGTCAAAAGGAATGGGAAAGAAGATCTAAACTGCGCATATGCTTGCATTGTCAAAAGTCTGGGCATGCTGTGCAATACTGTTATCGACTTTAGGGAAACATGCAAAGGGGAACGTCAGTTGCAGGCCCCTCCGATGAGCCTGAGTCTGATCAACAGCCTACTCTTGAAGCCCGGAACGACGCTGAATCCAAGGCTGCTGCAGTTCATGTGCTATACGCGGAGCCTTGGGAGGAGTCTAAGGAAGTTGACTTCCACGCTCACCTGGAACATTGGCTGCAGCTCAAGCAGCAACGCCGTGTTCAAGGGAGTGTGGAGCTAACCTTCTTTAAACTGCTCATTAACCGCCGATACATCCGCGTGCTGATTGAAAGTGGTTCAACCACTAATTTTTTTTCTCCTAACGGGATTCGTAAGGTGGGCCTGGGAATGAAGCAAGTGGAACTGCAGAACCCTTGTTAGACCTAGGTGGGAAACCAAGAGGTTGTCACCTCTACACATGCTGTCAGAGGTGTGCGCGTTACCTTTGACAAGGACCGCACTGTCACACATGAGCTCAACTTTTATGTCATGGACAAGTGTCCGTTCGACGCGGTCATTGGCTTGGGCTGGTTAAAGGCTCATTGCCTAAGGACCACGTGGGCGGACAATCAGTTCGTGGTGCTTGATGCCAAGGGGAACGAGCGTACCGTCTAATTGGATGAGACGCGCGAGTCCCCTATGACTCTTCTAAGTGCAAACAAATTTTGCAAATCAGTGCGCAGGCGCAAGGAAGCTGAGCATGTACATATAGCTCTTGTAAAACCTCTCCATGTCCCTTCTACTTTTGCTGAATTTTCTACCTCGGTAAGTAACTCTACTTCTACCATCTCTACTTCTATTCCATCCACTTTTGATGTGAATAATCCCTCTACTTCTGGCCCAAGTACTTCAAATCCGGTTGTGATTGCTGTAAATTCTCGTTCTGATTTTCTTTCTCCTGATAAGAATGATCCTCCACCAGAAGTCCCAACAAACATTCGCCATCTATTAGATCGATTCCCTAATGTTATGGCCGAACCTCGTGGAGTTCCCGAGCGTCCGGTCAAACACAAAATCAAAATAATAGAACGGAGTGTTCCTCCAAAGGGTTGTGTCTACCGTATGGGACAAGGCGAGTTGGGGGAGTTGAGGAGGCAGATTGATGACATGATCGATCGTGGATGGATTAGGCCTAGCAAGTCTGAGTTCGGTGCACCTATCCTGTTTGTGCCAAAGAAAGGAGGCAAACTCTGGATGTGTATTGACTATCGTGGCCTTGATCGGATCACCAGAAAAAATGCTTACCCTTTGCCTCACATAGATGATCTGCTAGATGCAGCAGGTGGGTGCAAGGTCTTCTCCAAGATCGACCTCAAGTCTGGTTACCACCAGATTGAAGTTGATCCGAGTGACCAACACAAAACTGCATTCAAAACACGCGATGGGATGTATGAATTCATCGTTATGCCCTTTGGTCTTACGAATGCACCGGCCACATTTCAGTGCCTCATGGACAAGGTACTTCGCCATCAACTCAATAGGTTTGTGGTTGTGTACCTTGACGATATCCTGATCTTCAGCAAGTCCATGGAAGAGCATGTCACGCACCTTGAGGAGGTCTTGCAAGTCCTCAAGGAGGCACAGCTGCACCTCAACTTAAAGAAATTTGAGTTTGGAAGGGACAGCGTCATCTATCTTGGGCACCGGTTGTCTGCAAACGGCCTTGAGCCGGAGGCAACCAAGGTTGAGGTCATCCGAAAGTGGCCTCAACCGGCGAACGTGCGCGAACTGCGTTCTTTTCTTGGTTTGGCCTCATATTACCGGAAGTTTGTGCCCAAATTTTCTGTCATTGCTCACCCACTCTTGAGACTAACCAGTAAGAATGTTCCCGATGAGTGGTGTGAGAAGTGTGAGACTGCGTTCCAAGCCTTGAAAGAGGCATTGGTGAGTCATCCTGTGCTCCGCATTGCGGATCCCAACCTCACATTCGTAGTCACTATGGACGCGAGCCAATTTGGGATTGGTGCAGTGCTGCAACAAGATGATGATGATGGCCTGCGTCCACTCGAGTATTACAGCAAACGCATGCTCAACCACAAGGTAGCTACTTCCACATATATGCGTGAGCTCTACGCCCTGCGCGAGGCACTCGCACATTGGAAGCACTTTCTCTTGGGTCGTCACTTCAAGGTCTACTGAGATCATCGGACCTTACAGTGGATTCAGACACAAACTGATCTCTCTCCTACATTGACCCGCTGGTTGCATGACATTGATGTCTATAGCTTTGAGTTGAAACACAAGAAAGGTTCTAATAACCGGGTTGCTGATGCATTGTCCCGCCATCCTGAATTCTTGACTTGCCTTGTGGGTTCGTATGACCTCCGAAGGAAACTGAAGGAGGATCTGGTCGAACACACCGCCAAGGATCCGGACCTTAGTCCCATCCTTGAGCAGCTCAAGGCTGACCCTAACAGTCAGCCTGATTTTCATGAATGCGAGGGTCTTGTGTTCCGCCGATATGGGAAATTTGATCATTTGTGTGTACCCAACCATGCGCATCTCCGAACTCATTTCTTGGATTTGGCACATGGTCGAAGTGGACATTTCGGTTTCGAGAAGACTTATGGAAGTCTTCTGCAGCAGTTTGATTGGCCAGGAATGAAAGGATCTGCTCATAAATTTATTGTTGAATGTCAGGTATGTTAAGGAACCAAGGTCCACAGGCATAAGCCTTATGGCCTGCTGAGACCCCTCCCCATTCCTGATGGACCCGGTGAGTCGATTTCCATCGACTTCACGGACATGGGAAAGGTGAGTGAGGCTGGAAATTCACAAGTCATGGTCATCGTGGACCGTTTTTCCAAATTTCTGAACTTGATTCCTTTCCCTCCCCATGGCCCGACTGAACTTGTCATTGAAGAATTCCATCAGCAGTACATTCTGCAGTTTGGCACCCCGAAAACTATTGTGAGTGATCGGGACACCAGATTCATTAGCGAAGATTGGAAGGACTTCACCTCTCAAATCTATGACATTAAACTGAACAAGACTTATGGTCGACACCCCGAAGCGAATGGATTGGCCGAGGAGATCAACCAGATTGTCATCCAACTACTTCGCGCATTGATTGTTCCAGATCAGAACACGTGGGACAAGGAGTTGCACAAAGTGAAGGGACTGTATAACAACTCCATTCACTCTGCAACTGGCGTGACACCAAACCAGTTGCAATACGGATGGCCGATGCGTAATCCACTCTCCTATCTGTTCCCCGAACGGTCACCTGGTATGATGTCTGGCTACAATGCCAAGTACGCACGCTTACTCAAAGTTGTTATTGTAGCCATGAACAAGCGCCAGCATGCCATGATCAAACATGCTAACAAGTTGCACAAAGAGGAAAAATTCAAAGTAGGGGATTATGTTTGGGTCAAAATGTCTGAGTTTTCTGATGAAAAGGGCATATCACGAAAACTCCTTCCATTGTACTATGGCCCTTGGCAGATTCTGAAGGTGATTGGGGATGACTTTGGTCCTTCATATGTGATTGTCGTGCCTCCTCATCTGCGCACGTATCCGGTCTTTCATGCGTCCAAACTGTTCCCACACATTGATGATGAGACGTTTCCCTTCCGAGACCCTATGATACCTCGCTCTATCGACGGCGGCCATGAGATAGAAAAAATCGTTTCTCACGAGGGAAGAGGGAGGAACAAATAGTACAAGCTTCACTTCCTCTATCACCCGTTGACTGAATTCTTCTGGATCGACCGAAAAGAGCTGCTAAAGAGTGCTCCCCATGTTGTGAACGCTTATGAACGACAAATCGCTGAGGGACAGATTGCTAAATTTGTTGCAAAAATGACTCCTCACGGACTTACTAAGTCTCTCTTTCTGATTTACTCCTACGATGCATTTTGTGCCAACTCTGAATGAGTTACTCGCTCGAAGGGACCTCGCTCTTGAGAGGGGGGTAATATAATGACCCGCCAAAAACACAGACTAAGAACACTGCTGATTTATGGGATTTGCCGTTGGAATGAATGCCTTGTTGAAATTCCTGCATTTTGCTGTGATTTCCATGTCTGTGTGTGTGTGCGTGCCTGCTGGTTTGCATGCCTGGCCGAGTGCTTGTCAGTTGAGTGTGTGTGAGACCCGCAAAGGTACTTGTTGGTTGCAAGGCCCCGCAAGGCCGGTACTTACCTGTGGCCGTGGCTGTGAAGGGTTGCAGGGGGAAAACACTCGAGTAGCGGGGGTAGGCCCGCGGCACTTAGAGCAGACGGGAAAAACACTCAAGTAGCAGGTAGGCCGGTACCACTGAAGTAGTGGTAGAAGTGTAGGGTACTGGAGGCAGAGCAGAAGAAGACAAAAAGTTGGCATTTTTAGAGGCCCAGTAGCGGTAGGTTAGAGGTAGGCCGGTACCAGTCCAAGTAGCCCGGGTCTAGGGCNCCAGTAGCGGTAGGTTAGAGGTAGGCCGGTACCAGTCCAAGTAGCCCGGGTCTAGGGCCTGTACGGAGGATAGCAGAGCCTGCAATGATGTTTCCCTCCGAAAGGGAGGAGGTACTGGTTGTTGGGAGGCCGCTCGGCCTAGGAAGTCACCGCCCAGGAGGTAGGTAGGCCGCTATATCTCCAGGAAGAGCAAAGAGTTCTTCCTCATTTGCGGTGTGCAGGATTGGCGACATGCTGCTGGAGCGCAGCGCTGGTCTGGTGCAGCGTTGCTTGGAGGTGAAGGGCCGTTGGAGCTCAGCCCGGCTATGGCGAGCRGTCCAGCTTGAGGAGGAGGAAGAAGGGGACATGGTAGGGAGGCACTTACCTGGCTATGGTAGACACCATCTTCATCACCTTGTTGGGCGCTGCATCTGGAAGGCCCCAGTTGGGGTAGTGCTGCACCAAGGAAGCTCAAGGTAGAGTCAGGCATAGCGGACCAGTCAGCAGCGACATAGCTGCTTTGGGTTGTCCTTTGGACATCAGCGCAGCACCATAGCTGCTCTGGGTTGTCCTTTGGACGTCAGGGCAAGACCCTCATTAGTCTGCCATAGCCTATGCATGAGAGAGGAGGCTGAAGGAGGGAAGCCATAGCTACGGTGGACTGGTTGTTGTTGTTGTGGTTGTTAAGTTGAGTCAGCAGTAAGAGGGAACTTCGGATATTGATTCTGGTTCATCCATTCATTTTTATTATTATTTTTGAGAGAAGAATAAGATTGGTGAAGTGAAGGAGGACGAGGAAGGTGGAGAGAGAAGGGGGGATTGTCATTGGTCTTGCTGGTGTATATCTTCTTCTTCTTCTTCTTCTTCTTCTTCTTCTTCTTCTTCTTCTTCTTCTTCTTCTTCTTTCCCTCTCCTCTGGTCTCTATCTCTTCGCAAGTGCTTTCATTTCTTTCGCAATTGGGTGGCATTGTCTTTCATTGTGAATTTGCACTTGGGAAATGACCAGGATCGTAACACTGATCCTATCTAGCCTATCTACAATGTTGTTGGTGATGTCAACAGCTCTCCGAAGTACGAGCAGATCTCGGCCAATGTCGTATGCCTCAAGCACTAGGTATGTCTCTCGTATTACTCACAACCTCGATCCCCACTCACATATGCCACGTGCACCCAAAGACCACCATGCGCCCCATCCAATATACAGCAGCGCAGCTCGGCTATGGCTGCCTGCTCCTTCCAGCTCGCCCGTGAGCGCATGAGCGCTGGCCAACGTATAGCGCAGCAGTGCTTGTGCAGCATGCAGCCAGTGCCCGAATGCCGAATGCGTGGGCAGGCACCTTCCTAAATGGAAGTGGTCTGGCTGCTTGCGTGCAGCCTGACTGTGTTGGGCCCCTGCCCAAAAGGTTCCGGTAGGCCCAGAGAGGTTGAGCCCCAGTCCAAACGAAACAGGGCCCGAACTCGGTTCCTCCCGTGTGAACCATCTATCCTCCTTTGGATCAGTGTGATGTCTGAACCAAACTCGGTACTGCAACTTCGGCTTCGGCTTCGCAGAACGTCCCCTGCCTGTCGGTCTTGGAACTGGCATTTCCCTGTGGTCCACGATGTCGTCGATGTCGACTTCTCCATCCATGGTTGGGGGCAGCATTGAGTGACGTGTGGGAAACTGATCAGTTTCCTCGAAAGGTGCAAGTTTGGGGGCGTGAAAGACAGGGTAAGTGCGAAGATGACCAGGGATCCGGATTACATAGGATGGCCCATCCGGATCTTCCCCAACAACATCCAAAACCTCCCATGGAGGTGGTCCAAAGTATTGTGGCATGAGCTTGCGAGAGATCCCGTGCTCCTATCCCAGTTCTGAGGACTTTACCCAGACTATGTCCCCTACCTCAAATGTAGAAGGGCGGCGGTGTTTGTTCTCAAACTCTATCATTGCCGCCTATGCCTTATGCATCTGTTCTACTGCCTGTTGCATCAGTTGTTCATAGCGATAGGCAAATTCAAGTGTGCCCGGTACAACAGTTGAATGGTTGTCAGGTAGTAGAATGTCTAGGGGCAGTCTAGGCTTGAAAGTCAGTAGCAGACTGTTAGGACTTACCCCAGTGGCGTTGTGCACAACACTGTTGTACAAGCTGGCGATAAGAGCAAGTTTCTCATCCCAGTCCGCCTGATTGGGCTTAATGTAGTGCCGCAACAGGTGTTGTACAACGCGGTTCAGCTGCTCTGCTTGGCCATTTGCCTCTGGGTGGTTCCCAGAAGTCATCTGCATCAGTGTTCCCTGTTCTGCAGCTGCAGCCTTCCACAAATCACTGGTGAATTTGACATCCCTGTCACTCACAATAGACTTTGGAAGTCCAAAGTCTCTGACCCAGTTTTCTTTGAACAGTTTGATCACATACTCGGTTCTAGTTGTAGCAGGCATTGCAACTAATCTAGCATACTTACTAAATGTATTCACAATGACGTAGATATATCTCATTCCACTCTTGCTGGTGACCAGCGTGTCCATGAAATCCATAGACAGGCTCTCATCGGGCCTTTCCGGAATCGGAAGGGGCTTGAGAAGCCCAAGAGGGGCATGTGTATGTGGCTCGTCTCTCTAACACACCTGACAAGTCTCCACGTACAGCTTCGCATCTCTCATCATTGTGGGCCACCAGAACCGCCGCAACTGATTTGCTGCAGTCTTTCTATACCCAAAATGTCCGGTGGCATCATGACACTCGCCTAAAAATAAACTACGCAAAGACTCCCGATCAGGCACACAAAGACGTTTATTCCCGGCCTTCTCAAGGAACAGCAGGTCATTGATCAACTCAAACTCTTTAGATGTAGCTTTATCCTTTGCCTCGAGTCTGCGTATGACCTCTGACATGAATGGGTCCTCGCGATAGGCTTCCACCAAAGACTGAGTAACATTGTTCGCAAGCCCAAATTCAGTGACCAGCGCACCGAGAAAATCTGGCCTACGCGACAGCGCATCAGCAACCTTTGTTGTACTCCCCCTTGATGTATTGGGGTTCGAAGTCATACTGCTCAATGACTTCAATCCAACGCTTCAGAGCATCGGAGAGTACCATTTGAGTCTTCATCCATCTCAGGGTCTGATGATTTGTCCTGACGTAGAAGAAGCGACCTAGGAGGTAGTGCCTCCAATGGTTAGCGCTTTGTAGATCGCATAGAGCTCCTTCTCATAGGTGGACTTGGCCAACTTTTGAGAGGGCATCTTTTTTGACATGTACTCTACCGGCCTCAACTTCTTCCCCTCCTACTGCACAAGTACGACACCAATGCCATATTGGTTGGCATCCGTAGTCACAACGAAAGGTTTGTCAGGATCAGGAAGTTTCAAGACCTCATGGTGTGTCAACGCATGCTTCAGATGTTTGAAAGCAGCCTCACATCTGTCTGTCCACTCCCATGGGGTGTCAAGGCATGTCAGGTCCGTCAAAGGGGCGGCCTCTATACTATACTTCTTAACAAAGTTGCGATAGTAGCCTGTCATCCCTAAGAAGGACCTCATCTTAGTCACAGACTGAGGACGCGGCCAGTAACGAATGCTGGCCACCTTCGCATCATCGGGTTTCAAACCCTCGACAGAAATCTCATGACCCAGGTACAGGATCCGGGTGCGGCCAAACTCACACTTCTCCCGGCTTAGAGCAAGCCACGGAGACAGGCCCGGGGAAGGCCGGACAGCTATGTCGAGGCACGTAGGATGCAGCAGACAGGCAGGCATAGGATGCAGCAGACAAACAGGCAGGCATGCCCAGGGGCAAGAATGTAGAAGGCAGGCACGCAGACAAACACGAAGACACATAGGCAGACAGACATGCAGACACATAGGCAGACAGGCAGTGAGATAGGCAGGCAAACAGACAGGCAGGCAGACAGGCGGGGAGATCCGAAGGCAGACACGCAGATAGGCAGGCACACATGGAAGCAGACATGCAGGCAAACACGCATGCAGGCACACAGGCAATTCTATCTACTGACTGCTTGGTTGATTTGTTCTATTGAAATCAATCAATCAATCAATCAATCAATCAATCAATTAATTATAATCAATCAATCTCCCTTTTTTTTCCTTTTTTTTTTTTTTTTTTTTTTTCCCCTTTCAAAGGCCAGGCTGTGCATAGGCCCAGACTGGGTGTTCGGTCCAGGCGCAGGCCTAAGCCATTGGCCGGGTCCAGGTATAGGCCCGGAGCCTTTTTCTTGGTGTTTCCCCCCCTCCCCACTAAATTCAAAGCTCGGGCCTGGACCCGTACATAGGCCCACACTGGGCCTGAATGCTAAGTGTTTGGTGTAGGCCTCGACAGCTACCGGGACCCAGGCAGACGGGCAGCCAGACAGATAGACGTGCAGGCGGGCAGGCAGACAGGCAGACAGAAAGGCGTTGACCTGGCCCTGGCCCACAGACGCCCCGGCAAGCAGGCATGCAGATGGTCGGCGCAAATGGTCAAGCGTCTGCTCCATGCCGACAATTATCGGTGGACGTTGACCTGGCGCTGACCCACAAACGCCCCATGCAGATAGTCACCTAATTTGCACTTGGCATATTCTTTGTTTTTCGTGGTGATCAGCGCACATGATCAAGCGTCCGCTCATCATAACGCCGCGGTCGAGACACATGGTCGGAGAGCGGGTGCGGGATCATCACGCTCCGATGTGCCGATGCATATTGATGAAGCAGATGATCTAGATGTTTCATACGGTCATTACCTCTATGATGATGATCGGAGAATGCATGAGTACGTCCAAGATTGTGAACAGTATGAGTATACCATGGCGAGGGAGATGCATGATATGGAACAACGTCACCATCAGTCGAATGCTGTGGTGCGGTATGGTGTGGTGGGTAAGATTCCAAATGGTCATGCCTTGAGGGAAGTATTTGGTAGGTTCGTTACGGACAACCAAGGACTTCGTTGGACTCAGGACGAGTTGTTGGATATGTTGAAGAAGAAGAAGGTGGAACTGGATGCAGTTAGGAGTGCGTTGGCCAACATTGAGGTCAACGCAAAGTCAGTCATCGAAAAATTCCTTCAAGAGGAACGAAACGATGAGGTGAGAGATTCCTCTGTGCCCGATACTGTGCATGTCAAAGAGGAGTCAAAAGTTAACATGGACATGGAGATGCGGATTCGTTCTCAGATGAGGTCGAAGATTCGAGATGATTTGATTGATGAGATTGTTAAGTATAGCACCCAAGTTCATCCCCACCTGTTGGAAGAGTGTGATGGTTTGCGTTGGCGACTTGAAAAGGCGGAATATGCAGTGAGGAGATTGTTGTCCTGTCGTGGCCTGGCGTGGGAAGATCCATCTTCTCGAAATGCAGTCTTCGATTTTCGATCAACTGAAAGTTTGGAGGCTCTTCCGAAAAACGATCTAATTGCGATGTTACATTCACTTCCAACTGTTGCTTCAGAGCTGGCTCACAGAAATGCAATGTTGGAGGTGCAAAATGCCATGCAGTTTCCTGTGAGCGACAACTAGATGAGGGCAACGGTGGTCAATCTTGGCCAATTGTATAAGGAGGCACGCGAAGAGTTGATGGATGTTGTGTTCGTGGACAAATTCGGTGACCGGTGGGATTACCACTCCAGGTTTTATTGGGCTCAACGTCACAATGAGCAGGTGTACCAGCTTAGGAAATTGCTTGGCGACGTCGTGCTAGCTTATTCACCGAAACGATTTATGGAGGAGTTAAGCAATGTGAAGAAGGAGTTGAATGTTTTTGCAAGCATGAACATGAAAAAAAGACTCAATGAGACTGTTATTGCATTGGTGGAATCTTTGAATCGCCAATGTCCTAGATGTCATCGAACATATTGGGCACACTTGAACTTTACAAGGATAAATGAACTCTCGGTTGTTAAACCGAAATGTGATGGGAACACAAACATTTATCCCGATGAACATAGTCAGGTTAATGAGGACGATGAATTTGCGATGGAAGAAAGGAGGAAGCGACTTCGCGAATTGGCAGAGGGAGATAAATAGGGTGGTATTTCATGATTGTTGAATTCATCATTCAGAGAAATAAAAGTAACAAGAGTGAAAGAGGAGGGAGGAGAGGAAGGAGGCGAAGGATGTAGGGTGCAGGGATGACGATAGTTGCAAAGGGAGAAAGGAGTTATAAATAGAAGAGAAAAAATTGTTGTTTGTTGTTCTGAAGGTAAGCGCATCGTTTGATGTATTGTTAGATAGGTGGATGAGTGGAGCTTCGTAGACATGATGATGGAGGAGTGGGAGTGGGTAGCGAGAGACGGATAACGAGGAGGTGGAGTGGGATGGCGGGAAGAACGTGTGAATTCACATTGTTTTATTTCACTAATGATGATGACACTTGAAAGTGTTTTATGATAAAACTCTTGAATTTTGTCTTTTCTCTGTCTTATTTAAATCATGTCTCTCTCTCTCTCTCTCTCTCTCTCTCTCTCTCTCTCTCTCTCTCTCTCTCTCTCTCTCTT